CACGCACGCACGCACGCACGCACGCACGCACGCACGCACGCACGCACGCACGCACACATACACACACACACACATACACACACACACACATGCATGCACTAAGGCATGCTTCTGTGCTGGTTGCGTCGAGGGCCGAAGGCGGAGCGTCCCGTGCGGGAATTGCAGCTCCTGAGAGTTTGTTTTGGAGGCAACAGCGGCAGAGGGTTCCGCTATCAGCCGGCCCCCCGAATGCGAAGGTACATCAAACTGCTGCACAGATCCCTCCCTGCCCAGCAATACCTCCATCCACGATCACCAAAGCTTTTGCGGAGCGGGGAGCTTGGTTTATTCCCTCACAACGTGGGATTTTAAGGAGGGGGTGGTGGGGTGGTGGGCTTACGGGAACCGGGCCGTTTAAGGCGGCTACATCCCGAGTCATCTTGCGCAACATTGACATGCGGATTCTTCTGAGTCCAACTCCTTTCATGGGCATTTGCGCATTGCACTGTCTAGGATAGTTTGGATTCGGTGGCAACATTGCTTGTGAGTCCCAGGAACTGGGCTCTTGGGCATGCCGTCGAGTTCTCGAAATCCGCGTATCTGAGTCCGTGTCGCCTGTCTCTCCCAGTCCTTGTCGCCAGCCCTGCCCATTGCTCAGCCCGTGGCTCTCAAGTTATGCTGGTCGGACAAGACCTCTCTGCAGAGATGTTTGTTGCATGCTTGCGAGCTTTTATTTCTGTCTTGCGTGTTCTTGCAAAGCACGAGGCCCAGCCTCCGGAGGCACAGACACTGCGTTTCGGCGTCGGGGACCGCGTCGAGTGCCGCGACCGCACGGTTGCACAAGCACTCTTCAGGAGGATCCCTCATGCAGCAGTGATGGGTTAGGCTTTCACATCCGGACATATGGATAGCGGCATGAAGCAGAATGCATAGGATGGAGCATTTTTGCATAGTCTTGCGGCATCTTCGCAACGCAGACACTGCATCTACACACCACCCCCCGCCTATCTAACCAGCCTCATACCACATTGCACGACAGTATTTTGAGAAGCCGACCTTTATGTTGCTGCAGGTGTAACATTGACGGCTTCCAGACTGGGACAGTGGTGAAACTCAACTACCACGATCCTGGCTGGCCAGAGGAGAGAACAGTACCCTACCAGGCAGCTGTCTGGTATGCCTGTGCAATCTGCCGCCCCCCCACACCCCCTCCTCGGTGCACGCACGAGGTGAGGTTGGACAGTGGGGTGACCATTTTTGCCACCAAAGATTGCGATGAGTGCATACGCGAAGCTGAAGGACAGAGTCTTGCGACTTTTTGGTCTGTTGAGTCACATGCGGCATTTGGCAACCCAAACCGGAGCATCGACGCAAGCCTTTTCTGGCTGTTGACGAAGGTGCAAGAATCGCCAAGGTAGTGTCCGTGGCAGCAGCTAGAATGCTAGAAAGCTAGACCAGACAGATAGCCCTAGGAAGGCTTCGTTGAGAAGGCTAAGTCCAAATCCAGCCATGAAGTCTCTGCCGATGGGCACGGCCTGGCCGGTCATGGATCCCAGCATGCTCATGATGATGAACTCTGGGCAGGGAAATTGGATGCAGGGCCAGGCCTTGCCTGTCCAGATTCCTGGTCAGCTGACTCCACAAATGATCATGCCGATGATGGGGCAGATGACCCCTGGGCAGATGACGCCTTTGGGACAGACACCCGGGCTCATGACGCCTGCATTGCCCACGGAGGGAGCACGCAGCAAAGCCTCCGGGCCGCCTCCCCCAGCCAAGGCACAGACACCCACGCCGGCACCGACACCGCCAGAGCGCTCGGCGGCGGTTTCTGGGCCCCAGCGGGCAGCCCCGCCCCTTCCTGCACAACGCCCCAAAGTGCCGGCGATGGTTCTCCTGAACGTGCCGGCGGAGAAGCCCACGCACCGGCTCTTGAAAGACGTGGCGGAAGTGGATGCACTGCTGCTGAAGGACTGGGCGTGGTTCCAGCAACTCGCTGGGGACTGCAGGCCGGTCTTCCCTGCTGTGCCCTTGGCCGGAGCTGCCTATGGAAGGAGAGATGTGTTGAAGAACAAGGCATCAGACATCCAGGTGCTTTTTGTCCCTGCAGATGTGGGTGCTATCGGCGAGGCGGTCGCCAAGGTGGTTGCAAACATGGGTGGTCGCAGCCACCTGGTCGGGGATTGGCACGACCTGCACCTTGCCCTTCACAGTCACGCAGTCTCTTACAGAGTTACGCCCCCCCCTCCCCCCCTTTTTTGGGGGGGCCTATAAAGTTTGCTTCTTTTCCGCAGGGGCCCTGAGATGAGCCAGTGGGGCCTCGTCGCGATCTTGAAGGATGCTGACCCCTTCCTGGAGCGGCCGTCCTTGGAGAAGCGGGCCCGCCAAGAGGCCGCTCCTCTGGAGGCGGCGGCTCCAAACAGCCCCACGGAGGTCGCTTCGCCCGGCGATCTGCCGGGGCGTCTGGCCAAGAAGCGCAAGGTGGACAAGGACGCCTACGCGGAATGGTGTCGAGAAGTGAAGCACTTGGGCACGGCCGAGTGCACTTGACTGGATTGTTTCTAGGCCCTAGGCCCCAGGTTTTTTTTTGGCTTTCTTCGAAGGCGCTAGTTCCCGCTGGACAGGTATAGAGCTTACAAAAAGCTTAACATCTCTTCGGCACCCTCAAGCCTCGAGGCCCAAACTCCCCAGGTGTCTGCTGACCAGACCCCACAACACCTGCCTTCGAGCAAGAAGAGGTGCTTCAGATCCGACGCTGAGATTCCGAAGTTCGCAAAGAGGGTGAGCGAGCGGTGGCTTGGAGTGTTCGGGCCAGAGGCGGGCCATGACCGAATCACATCCTTCCGCTTTACTTGAAAAAGTCTTCGAGTCGTGGCTGTTGGCTGTGGCCTTCAGGGTTGTCAAGGATTCTAAGGGTTGAGGCAGCGTGAAGAGATGTCAATTGTTGGAAGATGGGGAAAAAGTGGGGATGATGGGGGTTTTGACGAGATTTCATATGACTCCAGGGTCTGCCAAATCCAAGCCACCAGAAAAAGCACCTTAAGCAGCAAACTTCGAGTCACGGCCCAGTCAGGTGATTTTTGGTACCCTCGCCAAGTGCTTCTGCAAGAGAAAGTGCAGCTGGTGGCATCGATTAGCCGCTCCCTTTGCCAAGAGCAGTACTACGGGGGTTCGTATGGCCACCTCATCCTTAGCAACTCCTACCTTCTAGAGCAGGGGAGGGGCCCATTAGGCTTCAAAAAGCTTCAGGGCTGTGCATGTGCAGAGACAAGGCTCTGACCTACGTCTTGCACGAGCTGATCATGAACAAGATGATTCCGCAAGAGCATCGGCGGGTCTGCCTCGGATGGTGGATGAAACCTATTGGAAAGATCATCCGCTGCATGGGCTGGAAGGAGCGAGAGCCCTACTGCGAGCTCTTCGACTTCTGGTCCAACGCTTTCGAGGAGCCCCTCTTGACCGAATCCGAGCTGAAAGAGATACAGGAGTCCTGGGATGTCTGATGCGCTGCGCCATGCGGCTCTGCCAATTCATTCATGCATCTGTGACCTGGCTCTGTCTGGCTCTGGCTGGTTGTGCTTGAAGCACCCTGGATGGCCAACGATGGCCACCAGTCTCCCAGCCAACGGATTCAAGCCTTTAGCTCGCGTGCTCGGGCCGAAGCAGCAAAACATGCACTCTGGCGTTTTGGAGCTTCTTGCGTGGCTCCGATGTGTAGGAATACTGGCACGTGGGAAGATCCCTGTGACTGCCCCGCACTCAGAGCGGCGTCTCCGCTCCTGGATTTCTGCAGGTGCAGGTCAGCGCTTGAATTGCAGGTGCTGACTGGATTCCTCGGCGCAGGGAAGACTACCCTCTTGAACTATATTTTGCGAACGCAGCATGGGAAGAAGTGCTGCCGCCACATTTCCTTTTGCGAGGTTTGCAAAGTTAACTTCCGCTCTGGCCTGTGGCCTATCATCCTCCCCGCCATCCGGAGCCAAGCAACCCAGGTACGCGGTGATTGAGAACGAGTTTGGCGATGCAGCCATTGATGAAATGCTCCTAGACCAAGGCCGTACAGCCATGCAGTTGTCATGATGAGGGGTTTTGGTTGAATTGAATTGCCTGAGGCGTGGGCGTGCAGTCCACGGTGGAGGCAGCGTGCCGGCGGACATTCGCAGCGCAGTTCCACTGATTCGTTTCTCAGTCTGTGACCGTGCTCGACAATGGCTGCCTCTGCTGCACGTTGCGTGATGACTTGGTGGCAGCCATTCGCATCTCTGCTTCAATGGGAGTGTTAGAGGATGGCCTGCAACCCGAAGCCTGGTGTGCCCAGGCAACATCATCTCAACCTTGGAGGCTCGTGGACTTCTGTCGCTGCAAGTCGCCACGCCATTCTGCCCGAAGGAGCGGCTCGCTTCCGATCCAGACGCGATGATCGACGGCAGCAGACTCTGTCAGCTTCAAGCAGCAGAGGTGCCAGTACTGCGGTGTCCGAGGCATTATCATCGAGCCGCGTGCTCAGTGTTCCGAGACATAGCCGATGATTCAAACACCGTGGCTAGAACTCTCGGACATTTGACCCCCTGCAAGTCATACTACTGTCTACTGTAGATACTCCAGGCTATGTGCTCTCGGCCATCTACCCTGCACCAGATAAAGATGAGATACCTGGCAGCTTCCCAGTATCCGGCTACCAAGACCGACATCCTGGGCTGTTATCGAGGCCACCTGTAGGGGAGACCCTGGAATAGCTATAGAAGCAATGGTAGTCAACTAGGATAGTGATAGTCAAGAGCCACATGTATTAAGCTACAACAGCGACGACAGCTGCAAGAGCAGTGAGAAGAATAATCACAACAACACAACCACAATAGCAGTAACAAGAACAAGACGACTTCTGATGATAACAGAGATGCTGCTGCCACTGCTGCTATTGTGCTGCAGCCACTGCGAAGACCGCTACGAAGACGCTACTAATGTAACTCTCTCCTCCTCCTCCTCCTCCGCCCTACTGCTGCTACGGCGACGGAGACTCCAATCGACCGCTACCTCTGCCACTGCCGCTACCACGACCACCACCACTACCACCACCACCACCACCACCACCACCACCGCCACGATAACTAGGTACTAAAGCAGATGCTCCGAGTACTGGTAAGCAGTCGTAGTAGTGGTGGTCGTAGTCGTAGTCGTAGTCGTAGTCGTAGTCGTAGTCGTAGTCGACGTCGACGTCGTAGTCGTAGTCGTAGTCGT